TTAAAACTTTATTGTAGATCCGGGGTTAAGCGGGGAGCACAGACTCTTGCATAACGCATAACACGTAATGCATAAGAAAATGTACCAATCAAAGCCCTCTGTTTCCTTCCTTTCCATGAAATAAAGAATTCTGATTGATTGAATTTCTTATGCATTACATGTTATGCGTTATGCAAAAGTCTGTGCTCCCCGCTTTAGAGTATATCCACACAAACTTGCATAGCCGTATAAATGTATGCATAAAGAAAATTATTCAATTGCATTTCTCCTATAAAGACGCACGTAAATTGTGATTGGATAATTTTCTTTATGCATACGTTTATGCGGCTATGCAAGTTGTGTGGCTATATCCTAAGGGTGCCGTCACATACAGACCACAATCCGTAATTCGCACCGGATGTCCGCAAAAGCATCTAGGGATTGCGTATGTATGTACGGCAGATATTTCTAACGTAATCCGCAACTACGTGAAAAGAGAGTTCTAGTGCAGTCTAGTGCACGACAGAAAACAGACCATTTGTTGTATTTGCACTAACATATATCAAAGATTCATTATGCACTTCTAATTTCAAAATTGTTGTCAAACAAATTAATCAATATTTATAAATTAAAAGTAGATTATGGCACGTTTATTTTTGTTTGACGTCGGAGTGCAATTGCGTTGACGTGCTTCTTGTGTCCCATGGAGCCGTAAAATGCGAACGTGCAAATGCAATATTTTTTATTTAAGAAGTTATACTGTTAATTTTTATTTTATTTTATAAGAAAATTACAGAATATATTTTGATTATAACAAAAGTTTTAATTAAATCGCCAAATTTAGTTAAATAGATAAAATTAGGAAAAGAGCATTACTGATAATAATTAGTAATTTTTTTTACGGAAATTTCATGGGTTTAGGCTAGGTACACAACCTTGCTTTAAGAGGCCTTAAGCCGTAAGAAATTAACCAACCACAGTCGATTATTTTTCTCATATTTAACTGTGATTGATCAATTTCTTAAGGCTTTACGGCTTACGGCTTTTTTTAA